GTCTGGTTAAGGCGACCATCAACAACAACAATGTTGGAGTCTGGTTAAGGTGACCATCAACACCAACAATGTTGGAGTCTGGTTAAGGTGACCATCAACACCAACAATGTTGGAGTCTGGTTAAGGTGACCATCAACACCAACAATGTTGGAGTCTGGTTAAGGTGACCATCAACACCAACAATGTTGGAGTCTGGTTAAGGTGACCATCAACACCAACAATGTTGGAGTCTGGTTAAGGTGACCATCAACACCAACAATGTTGGAGTCTGGTTAAGGTGACCATCAACAACAACAATGTTGGAGTCTGGTTAAGGTGACCATCAACAACAACAATGTTGGAGTCTGGTTAAGGCGACCATCAACAACAACAATGTTGAAGTCTGGTTAAGGTGACCATCAACAACAACAGTGTTGAAGTCTGGTTAAGGCGACCATCAACAACAACAGTGTTGAAGTCTGGTTAAGGCGACCATCAACAACAACAGTGTTGAAGTCTGGTTAAGGTGACCATCAACAACAATCATTGTCAGTGTGTTATGTTGGACTTTGGTTAAGGCGACCATCACTAAGCACGGTCACCACGTCACGGCAGGATGGCATTACATGCTCTGGTAGAAACACCAAAAGTTCCTAGATATAGCTGGTGTTCCTGTGAAGGTAGAAGAGCTCAGCTGCTCGTTGCTCGTCCACATAAACGCGGGCCAACTAATTCCGATATATTAATTACGCTTTCTCGACTGTTTGTCGGCAGTTGCTGGTGTGGACTTAGCTGTGACGCCTTTCACTGGGAGCTGTTTTGCCCCAGCTTGTAGGGTAATAGTACATTTTTTCACATGTTAGAAGCAGAATGAATCAACACAGAATATTTCTAGCTGTTGATGAAAGTTCTGACAGCCTGTTGATGAACTGATGTTTTTATCTAAAACGCTCATGAGAATTAATATCTGTGAACTGTGTCTCTACTTCGCATTATTTTTACGTCAATGTGCCCTTGGGGATTTTTCGCAAGTTCTTCTACAGGCTTTCGCTGTCATGACTGTAATGGGTGATAATGGGTGATCTTCGCATCTCTCGGACTGACACGACATGTAGAGATGAAACTAAATACTGTCCTTTGTGTTTACCTTGAACTCTGACCCATAAGTTCCATGTCTGCCTCTGGCCTGGGGACTGAACATGCCAGTGGAGAGGAGAGTCCCAGATGAGTAATATGATTCTAAGGTGATAGAAGTCAAACGAGAGGTTCACCGCTGGCCTCCAGTGAGTTAGTCAATGGGTTGATTTGGCATCACTCTTCTCTGCTAACGGAAGCGTGTATTCAGCTAGGGTCCAGACAACACCAGTGAGTGGGCGCCACTTTGGTCCAGTGGCTGTCATTTAGCAATCTGTTGGTCACTCATACATACCTTTATTTGCTCTGGGGCCGTTTATCATAGTTAACTGTTAAAACATTATCCTGATGGACTCGATAGTAGGGATCTAAAGGTCATTATTATTGTTATTTAGAAAATAATCTTTCTGTACAATCTGCTACACTCGCTGACGATCCCTGCGTGGCTACATTCAGAGTCTGTCACTTTCGGGCAACCCCCTGTTGCCTGACTCTGGAACAGGAGTTCCAGTGATTCCTTTGGGATCTCCTGACCTACACACTACCTTCACCATGATCCCAGCTTCTCCCGCAACACTGTGACGATTTTCAGATTGTCTGCCCGTCTGAGGACAGACTTGCTTGAAGCTATCATTCAAAGACTTCGAGGCATACAAGACGATACACACGCTAACTATGGTGTGATAAATGGGTTAAAAACCGACAAGTTGAATATTGAAGCACTTATGCAACGTATGGGAATCTTTATTGAACCAAAGAACATAAGAAAGAAGGAACACTGCAACAGGCCTACTGACCCATGCGAAGCAGGTCCATGCCACCCCCCGGCCTAGAACACTGACCACCTAGTCAGGTCACTTCCACTTAAGGAAGGAGCACGGCACCAGACCTGGTAGCCCAAGCTAGTCAGGTTTGTTCCACTCATCCACAACTCTATTAACAAGCCAGTGCTTTCCTATGTCGTTCCTGAATCCGAATTTTTCCAACTTGAAACCATTGCTGCGAGTTCTGTCTTGGCTAGGTATTTTCAGCACTCTATTTACATCCCCTTTATTTATTCCTGTTTTCCATTTATACACCTCAATCATATCCCCTCTAATTCTACGCCTTTCTAGAGAGTGCAGATTCAGGGCCCTCAGTCTGTCCTCATAGGGCAGATTTCTGATACATGGGATCATCTTTGTCATCCTCCTCTGTACGTTTTCCAGAGCATTTATATCCATTCTGTAATACGTTGACCAGAACTGTGCAGCATAGTCTAAATGAGGCCTAACCAAGGATATATAGAGTTGAAGAACAACCTGAGGACTTCTATTATTTATACTTCTAGATATGAAGCCAAGAATTCTGTTAGCTTTATTGCGAACACTAATGCACTGTTGTCTTGGTTTTAGATTACTGCTAACCAGAACTCCTAAATCCTTTTCGCAATCCGTAATATTAAGATCTACATTATTTAGTTTATATGTCGCATGGCTATTGTCCTGTCCAACATTTAGCACTTTGCATTTGTCTATATTAAACTGCATCTGCCACTTCTCTGACCATTGCGTCAGTCTATTCAAATCATCCTGGAGTGCTCTAGTGTCCTCAATAGAATAAATTGGACGACCTATTTTGGTGTCATCAGCAAATTTGCTTATGTCGCTATTTATTCCCTCATCTATATCGTTTATGTAAATTGTGAACACCAAGGGGCCCAACACTGGTCCTTGTGGAACACCGCTTGTGACGTGCCCCCATTCTGATTTCTCCCCATTTATGTAAACTCTTCGCTGCTTATTCGTCAACCATGCCTCTATCCAGGAAAAAATTTCTCCTCCTATTCCGTGTGCCTTAAGTTTCCTCAAAGGTCTCTGATGTGGAACTCTATCGAAAGCCTTACGCCATATACACAATATCAATTTTGTAGAAATGATGGACTGAACACATCGACTCCAGGCTGAGGGACTGAATACCTCAAACTCCTCCTCTCCTTACACCTTTCTTTGTATTGGACTGATGAAGCCACTGTGTGGCGAAACGTTTCCTCACTAAAGATTCCCATATGTGTCTCAATCTTCAACTAACTATCGTACTTTCTCCTTCACGTCCTGAGAAACAAGCTAACTGGAATCCTCTCCCAGTGGAAGAATCATTCTGAAAAAAAACTGGACAAAATACATTTCCTTCCAGTCAACAAACCCTACAGATACCTTTATTTTTAAAGGGATGGACCGGTAAGCCAGTGGAAGGCCTTGGTCAGTTGACCAAAGTTCCAGTGGTGGGTCTTCAAATGACTAAAACGCGCGTCAGGAAACACGTGTGATGTTTCCTGACGAACATGAACTGACTTTACCTAACCTAACCTAACCTAACCTAACCTAACCTAACCTTACCTAACCTAACCTAACCTATCCTAACCTAACCTAACCTAACCTAACCTAACCTAACCTAACCTAACCTAACCTAACCCAACCTTACTTAACCTTACTTAACCTATCCTAACCAAACCCAACCTAACTGACTTTACCAAACCTAACCTAACCTCCCTAACCTAACCAAAACCAACTTCCTAACCTAACCAAACCCTAACAAACAACCCTAACCAAAATATCCAAAACCAAACCAAACCCTAACTATTACCAAACCCTAACCTAACCTAACCCCCTTACTTAACCTTATTTAACCTACCCAAAACCAAACCCTAACCTAAGACTTTCCCAACCTAACCTAACCTAACCTAACCTAACCTAACAAAACCTTACCTAACCTCCCTAACCTAACCTAACCCTAACCTACCAAACCCTTTCTAACCAAACTAACCAAACTAACCAAACCTAACCAAACCCCCCCTTATTAAACCCTTCCAAACCTAACCTAATAACCAAACCCAAAACCAAACCTAATCTAACCTATCCTATCTCCCCCAAACCCAAAACCCCTAACCAAACCAAACCTTATAACCAAACCCAAAACCAAACCTAACCTAACCTATCCTTCCTAACCCTATCCTAACCTAACCTAACCTAACCTAACCTAACCTAACCTATCCTAACCTAACCTAACCTAACCTAACCTATCCTAACCTAACCTATCCTAACCTAACCTAACCTAACCTAACCTAACCTAACCTACAGATATCTTTCTTGTCTTACTATCAGCAAATACCTCACGACATCTGTGAGCCTAAACGTCACATTTCTTGCTCTCAAGAGTAGGATGAATATAATTATCGTACAAGCTGTCTGACCCTCGTAGGTTTAGCGCTTATTTTAATTATAATAATATTATCGTATAAAAATGATGCCAAGACACTAAATTTGATTTTTTTCAGCACAGCTAAAGCCAATAATAGCTTCTTGTATCAATATTTTCTCTCAGTAGCTTAGAATTAATTGCTCTCTCTTTCTTTCGTGACCATCTTTAGTCCTAAATACAATCTCCTAAACAAAACCTATCCGTTGTTCCACTTCTTTCTTCTCTCTAGTTATCTCTACATAACTGTCTTCTGTTTTAGCTTTATAGTCTTCTAGCTTTTTCACCTCGTTTTCAAAGCTTTTTATTGAAGATTATTTGGGGAGTCCTGATATAGCTGCTCCCGTTACCCGTTTTTTGTTTTGTTTATTCCTACGCAGGTATTTTAATTTGGTTTTAGTTTCTTCTAGACCTTTTATCCCATCTTTGTTTTTTATTAATTCTTGACTTATCTAAATCTGTCTTCTTTATATAGGCATTTAAATCTATCTCATTTTTTAAAGAAAGATTTTCCTTCTTAATTTTTTCCCTCTATCTTTCTTGTGTGTGTGTGTGTGTGTGTGTGTGTGTGTGTGTGTGTGTGTGTTGTGTGTGTGTGTGTTGTGTGTGTGTGTGTGTGTGTGTGTGTGTGTGTGGGAAGGGGTACTCACGCGATCATCTCCGAGGGTGACCTCCAAGGAACATCGTCAACCTCGTCATCACTCTCGCCTGATGCTTCCTCACTGCCTCGCTCGTGTCCGGAGATGTTCAGGTTAGAACCCGTGAACATGTCTGGCACCGGCAAGATGGACGGACGGCGGGTCTCTGTAACACAGATGTAGCCCTGAGACAGTCTGTTTTATCGCCACACACACACACACACACACACGCACACAAGCTCAGATAAGGTTTCGTTCGGATTTTTAACCCCGGAGGGTTAGCCACCCAGGATAACTCATGAAAGTCAGTGCGTCATCGAGGGCTGTCTAACTTATTTCCATTGGGGTCCTTAATCTTGTCCCCCAGGATGCGACCCACACCAGTCCACTAACACCCAGGTACCTACTTGCTGCTAGGTGAACAGGACAACAGGTGTAAGGAAAAGCGTCGAAATGTTTCCACCCAGCCGGGAATCGAACCCGGGCCCTCCACGTGTGAAGCGAGAGGTTTGCCAGCCAGGCTTTGAATACTTGGTAGAAATGGTAGTGGAGTAATAAGAAGGAAGTACAAATAGACCAGATTGCGGAAGAAGAACTAACGATGGATTATGGACCTTCAAAATGGACCCCAGTGAGAGGGGAAGTTGACTGGTCAGGCAGCCCAGGACATGGAGTGCCATGTTAGAAAGTACCTGCAGCCAACAACAGAGTTCATACCTAACAGGAGGAGCTGTGAGAAGTTAACACAGAGAAAGTTTCGCTTTAATCCGAGCTGCAGAAAAGCCACAGAAAGTGCAACAGTATAGAGACAGAACACAGGGAATAGCAAAACATGCAGAATGGCAAGGAATGGCTATTCATATATAATGGCTTGATAAAGCTCGTGGAGAGCGAAACGTTGCCACAATAAATGTCACATTAGTTGCACTTGTGTCCTTTTACTTTACATATATAAGAAAGAAAAACAAACGTCAGTTTTAGAATGACATAGGCCAGATAAGTACACTCACAATGGGTCAATTAGGCGATAAAGTGAGTAAAAGGAAGAATTACTAAGAAAATCTAGCGACCAAAAAATTAGTTCAAGGCACTAATGACGTAGTAATTAGACAAGAACTTACAGGAGAGGTCAGGGTAAAGTAAAGCAATAATAAACACTCATAAATGATAAGTGAGGAGGATAAAGACCGACCTGTTGAATGGTTTCTCAGGGAAACGAACCCAGGATGGTTAGTTATCACACGAAAATAAACGAAATTAAAAAGATGAACACAATGAGAAGAACACATTCGTTAATTTTTTATATATTAACATAAGTAGTCAACTTTTCTTCTGGGGGCCCCTTCAAAGGATGCCGCCTTTTCACACCTATGTGCTAATGACCTTGACCCTATGATAATGACCCTTCCGGGCACGTGTCCCCTTTTCACACCTATGTGCTAATGACCATGACCTCGCTCTCGAGACTACCTCACCCTTGACCCCCCCAACCAATACCCCCGCCCACGCCCCCCCCCCTTCGCGACCCCCCCCCTTCGCGCCGCGCCCCCGCGCCCGCCCGCGCGCCCCGCCCGCGCGCCCCGCCCGCCCGCGCGCCCGCACGCGCGCCCGCCGCGCTTCTGCTAAGCCTTCGCAGCGGTCGTCCGGGATCCCCCGCGCTGAATTTTTTTTTTCTTATGATCATCCTCGAGCAAGTTTTTGGATTCCCCCCTATGGGGTTTTCGAAATTTCTCCTCTCCTTGGATCAAGGTTTTGGATATCTCCAATCTCCTTGGAGGTTTTTTGGATTTATCCCATCTCCTCGGATAAAGTTTTATGGATTCCCCCCCTATGGGGTTTTCGAAAGTCTCCATCTCCTCGGATCAAGTTTTGGAGGATTTCCCTCCTCACTATGGGGGTTTTCGACGAATTTACCCGGATCAAGTTTGTGGAATCCCCCCTCTGGTATAAGCATTTCAAATGAACTTCGCCTATGGGGGCATCGCTTCTACAGAGTCTAAAAGTTTCCTCTCATTAGTCAATGAAATAAAAGTTTCCCCTTATAATTTTAAAATGAAAACCTAAAACCTTCCTCTCATTAAGTTCACAATGAAACTACAGTTCCTCTCATTAAGTTAAATGTACTTAAAATAAAGCGTTTACTCGGCGGTCAGTATTCCACTCATAAGTTAAATGAACTAAAAAAGGCCGCGCACACAGGTTTGAATCTTGTCTACCTTTTACCCACCCTCCACAAACCTCACACTCCAACCAACACCTCACAATTTTCACTCCATAAACACAATTTTTCTCGTTTTAACCTTTTTGTTCATTAAAGTTAAAAAGGGGCACATGATCAGAAAGTCACCGCATCCACCTTCGTTAAATTTCACTACTACAATTTTACTATATTACGAAGTTAACTAACGCACTTTTACTTTGAAAATCTTCAAAACCTCTCTCATAAGATCATTTGAATACTACAAAAAATAACTTTATACATTTCCAAACAACACTGAATTACTCCAAAACATCATCATTCGAACACTCACCAAAATCACCACTGAATTACTCACAGGAACACCTTCATAAGTACTCTTGCACATCATTTGAAACACCTTCATAAGTACTCTCATAATCATTTGCTACCCTTCAATAACACCTTTGAATATTCACATAAAACCTTGACCACCTTTTTTCAAAACACCTTCAAAGCACTCTCATAATCATTTGAACACCTTCAAACACCCTTGAACACCTTCTAAACACCCTTGTACACTCTCAAAAACAACATTTGAACACACTCAAAACACCTTTGAACAACCTTTGACATTTCAAACAAAACACTGAAAACACTTCCAAAAACACAATTGGAGTAGCTCCCAATTTAACCACTGATTACTACTAAAACACCGATGAATTCAACTAAAACACACCTTCAACACCTTCAAACACCCTTGAAACACCTTTCAACATCACTCTTGAACACCTTCAAAAAACACTTGGACTTTCCAAAACACTATTTGAGTACTTCCCAATTACACCACTGAATACTACTAAACACGAGAATTCATTCAAAACAACCCCTTCAACACTTCAAAACACCTATGAACACCTTTGAAATATCAAATAAACACCCTTTGAACACCTTCAAAACACCTTTGAATAACTCAAAAACACCTTTGAACCACCTTCAAAACACCTTGAAACACTTCAAAACACCTATTGATTAACCTCAAAAACCTTTGAACACTTCAAAACACCCTTGAAACACCTTTCAAAAAACAACATTTGAAAAACCACCTTTGAACACCTTTGATACATTTTCCAAAAATCTATTTGAGTACTCCCAAATAAGATTTGACATCTCTAATTTATCTGCACTTTCATTAAAATACAACTCATCCTCGTCTCAGATAGCGATTTTCTCGTTTTTTACCCTTTTAGTTCATTAAAGTTATTAGGGGACACAATTACATCAGAAACAAAGTCGAACTAAACTAACTCAAACACTTTACTTTGCAACACCCCCAAAAACACTCTCATAATCATTTGAATATAACATAAAACCCCTTGAACACCTACAAACACCTTTGAATACGTTTTTAAACTATTTTCATCACAACCCACTTATATCATCCTTTTCGGTAACTCTAATTCGACAACAACTACCCACAACACCCACATCTCCACAACACCCATGAACATTACCAAACACTATTTGAGTACTCCCAATTAACACCACTGAATTACTACTAAACACCGCTGAATTCAATCAAAAACGCCCTTCAACACCTTCAAACTCCCATTGAAAACCTTCAAAACACTCATGAACACTTTCAAAAACACCTTTGACATTTCCAATCAACACAGAACCTTCAAAAAACCACAAATTTGGTAATCCCAATTACACCATGAATACTACTAAAACACGCTGAATTTCAATCAAAACACCCTTCAACACCTTCAAAAACACCTTTGAACACCTTCAAAACACCTATGACACCTTCAGAAAAACTCTTGAAACACCTTCAGAAAAACACCTTAGAACATTTCCAATCAACACTGGAAACACTTCCATACCCAATATTGCAGATCATGTTTTCAACACCCCTCATTCTTTTTCAATATATCATAACTTTACAATTTCTCATATTCTTTTTAATAGATTATTCACACATTACCTTTATTGATTCAGTAAAATATATACTCTCCATATTTCTAATTACAACCCTCCCCATTACCACTCTCCATCTCACCCGCATTCTTCACATCCACTCACCCATCTCCCAACATACCTCTTCTGAACACACACACAAAAAAAATCACCATTAATCACAAATGATCTCAAATCCATAAAATCACTAAACCAAGCATATTCACACACACACCCGTACCTAACCGAAACCTTAACCTAACCTCAACCTAACTAGCCTAACCTAAACCTTACCTACACTAACCTAAACCTAACCTAACTGTCCTAAACCTACTAACCTAACCTAACCCGAACCTACCCTAACCTAATTTAAACCTACCTAACCCTTTACCGAACCTACCCTAACCTAACTTAACCTAACCTAACCTATCCTAAACCTACCGAACCTACCCTACCTAACTTACCTTACATAACCTACCCTAACCTAACCAACTTTACCAAACAAAAAAAAAAAAAAAAACAAAAAAAAAAAAACAAAAAAAAAGAAAATAAAAAAGAATACTAAAAAAAAAAAAAAAAAAAAAATAAAAAAAAAAAAAAAAAAAAAAAAAAAAATAAAAAAACAAAAAAAAAAAAAAAAAAAAAAAAAAAAAAAAAAAAAAAAAAAAAACCAAAAAAAAAAAAAAAAAAAAACAAAACCTAACCTAACCTAACTAACTATACCTAAAATGAACCGTATCTAACCCTTACCTAACTGATCCTAACCTAACCTAACTCCCCAAAACCCCTACTCCATCTCACCCGCATTTCTTCAACATCCTCTCCACCCATCTCCCAACATACCTCTTCTGAAAAACAACACACAAAAATATCACATTTCACATCCACAAATGCATCTCAAATCCACTTAAATCACTTGTAACCAAGATATTACACACACACCACATTACTAACCTAAACCTTACCTAATCCAACCTAACACCAACCTAACTTAACTAACATAAACCTAACCTAACCTTACCTCACCT